TTTAATTGAAATATAATTCCTATTATGAACTGACTGATCCTTGATGAAATGTAATTTGATAATTTTATGTGTCAAAACGTAACGGGATTTCAATCTGGCTGGTTGCAGTAATCTCATGCGCGTTAACCAAGAAGCAATGTTTCTGCGTAGTTACCCATACTTGTAGCTATATTTAAATGATAATACTTAGCATCCATGTAATGCAGTATACAAACTAAAAGAAAATCTTTATGTATGAAAACCGGGATTAACAGAATGTAGAAAAAATGAGTTAATGAAGCAAACATTGTAGGATAAATACATAAATCTAACTTGTCATATTTGAAGAAACGGAACCAAAAAGAGGAGTAAGGATATTGAAATGAACGACAATGGAGTAGGCAATAACATCGTATACGAAAAACAAATAATGGGTTCTCAATTATTATTATACAAAAAATTCCACTGTTAACGTAAACCTCTTTGTAATAAACAATAAACTAGATACATATAAAATACTATATCTGTCTACTATGAACAGACCATACATTGATCCCACTCATACACCTATCACAAACGTAATAAACCCAATCAACTGTGTAAGTCAAATTATGAACGAGTAAAGAATGGTATATTGATTGAAAATGTTAAGGAGGGTCGCATTTAAGTGAAATTTATCAAATGGATAGATTAGTTTGATGCATATTTATTTCGGCTCGTCCTACGATGATTCCAACTGGTAAATATGCATTTGTGCTGAGAGGAAGATGCATGAAGAGAATTGAAACTGAAGTTTTACACGTTAAAGTCAAACGTATATTAGAAACAGAGAGGCAACAAATATACAACACATAAACAAAAACAACCTCAACATTTACAATAATAAATGCAGAAGATAATGTTAAAGAGCAATTTCTGTGAAGTATACATGAGTTATCGATAAAATGATATGATACACGTGTGTACTTGTTGAGTTTAGAATTTACTATTAAAAATAGACAGACTTTCCCAACTTGTGTATGACATTTAATACAATATTTTAATTGAGAAATAGAACAATGCAATGAAAATACAATGAAATATCACAGTTTTGAAAGGTGTCTGTTCATAAATAAATAATATCATTGTTGATTGCCGACCAATACACGACTCATATTGAATGGAAAATCTCTACTATGCATACGTCTAGTTGCTTCAATTAAACTTATTTCTCTCTGATCCAATTCAACTTGACGTTGTACTTCTAATGTTGCACCTAATGGTTTATTTATATATTTCGGTGCTGGAGTCTCTAACACTGGTCCAATCACTTTTGAACCAAATTGAATTACTCGTTTAGGAAATAATAATCTTGATTGAATATTTAAAAAATTTTTATAATAAGTAAAACCAGTGATCTGTTATAATGGAAAAATTAAAGAATAAAACGAAAATATGTAACATTATCTAAAAACTATAAATTATGTTAACATGTGTCTAAATAATTAAGTATAACCCAAATCTTATTCTTTTTTGGTTAGCATTTTTTAGCGAGTTAGTTTTCTATGGGAAGGGGTCGCTAACCCCATGCCCAACCCTCCTCCTTTATCCAGGCTTGGGACCGGCAGTAACCCCAGAGGGGCTCCAGGTGGACGATCTAGACTTCGCAGATAATCTGGCTCTTCTATCGTACACGCAACAACAAATGTAGGAGAAGACGACTAGTGTAGCAGCAGTGGGTCTCAACATACAAAAAGGAAAGAGCAAGACACTCTGATACAACACAACATGCATCAATGGAATTACACTTGACGGAGAAGCTTTGGAGGATGTGAAAACCTTTACATATTTGTGCAGCATCATTGATGAACACGGTGGATCTGATGAAGAAATGAAAACGCGGATCGGCAAAGCAAGAACATATCTACAATTGAAGAACATCTGGAACTCAAAACATTTGTCAACCAACACCAAGGTTAGAAGTTTCAATACAAATGTCAAGACAGTTCTACCGTATGTGGCGGAAACCTGAAGAACTACGAAAGCCATCATCCAGAAGATACGAGTGTTTATTAGCAGTTGTCTAGGCAAATATTTCTGATTCGTTGGCCAGACACTATCAGCAACAACCTACTATGGGAGAGAACAAACCAGATTCTAGTGGAGGAAGAAATCAAGAAGCGCTGGAAGTGGATAGGACATACATTGAGGAAATCACCCAATTGCGTCACAAGACAAGCCCTCACATGGAACCCTCAAGGCCAAAGGAGAAGAGGGAGATCAAATAACACATTACGCCGAGAAATGGAAGCCAATATGAGAAGAATGAACAACAACTGAATAAAACTAGAAAGGAAGGCCCAGGGCAGAGTGAGTTGGAGAATTCTAGTCGGCTGTCTATGCTCCATTAGTAGTAACAGGCGTAAGTAAATGTTATTTTATTATCAGGAAGTTGAAAAATAGTTACTGATTAGTATATTTAAATTATTTTCTGATATATATAATCGCCGAGTGATTAGTGTTGAAGAAATCAAGTTGATGTCGATGAAAGTTAGCATTGTTTAGTAAAGTTATGAAGTAGGATTGCTCAAAGAAAAAGTTAGCGAAAATATGTTATGCATATGTCCAGTTATAGTTGACTTTAAAAATTTTATAATAAATGAAGACTGTGTCAGTTAATACAAGCTATATCGGAAGGCATAAGCTACATGGTTGTTACTTACATATATATATATATATATATATATATATATATATATATAATGAATTCAAAAAATCAAAGCTCTCTCCAATTTGTTGTGATTTTATGCCCGGCTTTCATCACGTGATTTATCCGCCAGTCGGAATACGACTTGTCTTATTTATTTATTTAAACACGTAAATATTGGTACAAGGAAGCACCAGATATATATGTGCCACACAAATCTCATTCGATTTGCTTGAGGGCTGTGATACTGCCCAGGTGCCCGAACTGAAGCAGGTGGTTTTCTTAGGGGACCACACCCGGAGCCTTTGACCGAAACATCTGATCCACAAGGCAGTGGAGCATCGTGAGGAGATGCAGTCCCATGGTAGCCAGTGATCAACGATTGATTCGTACGCCATTTGTTCCCTCAGGATATTGGAGCCCATGTGCACCATTTGTTTGGAATCAGGGTTTTCCAACTCCCCTAGGTGGACTCGCCTTGTCCACCAACCTGGTTAAAGTGCCGGACATTCGCTTTTTGTCCTCTCATTTTCGTAAACAACACCCCCGCCACGAAAAGGCAGTGAGTAGGACTTCCCTGGAAGAGGCTATATAATCGCTGGCCATGTGAGAGCATTTCGAGAGGGAGAGCGGACTCTCCCCACTCTCGGCCGTACCAGGGCATTTGGTGGCTCTTAACACTGTACTAAATCAATGACGTTCAACTGGTATGATCAGTCTAGCTTCCTTTTTGGTCCCTTGTTCGCCTAGCCCTTCTAATTGAGTCCAAAACACCAGTTACGGCTTCTGCTATGCGATTCATTTATTTCAAACATACTCGGTTTGCATACCAGACAGACAGACTGCATCACACCATAAAATAGAAAATAATATTTGTACAAGATCGAGCCGAATGTGGCTGTGAACGTGGGAGACAGTAATCAATAAACTGAATATAATTTAGGGACAGTAAACCATACAATAATAATCAATACGTCAAAATGGAGCTTCTAATAAGATGAATATATATATACATAATCTAGTCACTGAATAGTTATACAAGAAGAATATATATAGAATAAAAGTTCACTAATAGGTCCTGAAAGTTACCTGTACTTACGTCTTCACTAGTACATAACTATATATATATATAATTTGTGATAAGAATGTAGTGCCAGAAAAGCAATTTTACATTATAATACTACAATTCAGCAATTGATTATGATTGATTTATGCTTCGTCTATCTGAACTTTTCTCTCTTTTGTTTCTATATATAATTCTACCATGCTAAAATATCTTCTCAATCCTACTATTAGATATACTGTAATATATGCCAACCGTTGAACCACGGGTTTTCAATTATTTTAAGAACAAATACCTTAATTATTTAGAATAAATGAACTATGACTAGTAGTGGGATCCCAGACGTACACTTCGTCCTATTTTGGACGCGTTAACTGGATGAAACTACATCCTAGTGATTTTCACACTGAGATTCAAATTTAGTGTCCTTCGCTTCAAATATTAACACGTACGCTGAACTACTAAGTTCAGATAACCGATAACTTACTTCATTCAGTTGCTTAGTTAATCATTGAACATCATTTTCATTATCATTTGCAAAACTGAAATATTATTATACAGCAGTACTGTTTGATTGGTACTATTCTGTTAAGTCACTGTGAAATACTTAGTGAAAAGAAATATCTATGCACTCTATTATCGTTTTAATGAAAATGAATAGCATTTTCTAAAAAAACATCTATCTACATAAATTGACTTAATGAAACCAACTATAGGTAATAATATAGAAGGAATGAAATAGATCAATCTGACTCTGATCTGCTGGGAATAAAGTAGAATTGAGATATACACAGGTTTCTATTTTATTAGTATGTGAGTGGCCTATGACGAGCTTATACCATGTAAATGATGATGCTTCAAAATACATCTAGTCATAGGTTGTAGTATTAAACGAACTACAACTAATCTCTACAAAACCCCTTTAAATAAACATCTAATAAATTTTCTTTAGCATTTTATGTGTTACGAACACGTATGTTATTTTATTCGAAGAAAAACCTACTATGTTGGCAAGCAAGTTATGTTATTATTTTTAAACAGTAGTCCATTTGAGGACCCATGTCAATAATTCAGGATTTCGAGCAATTATCATTGGCTCTTATTATGTAACTGTTCATCGTCTATCGACCAGAACTCCGTTCATTATTTAAATATACCAAAAGATTCGCCGTCATCAAAACTCCGAGTTCCTCTATGACTGAGAAGATCAGCTGCGTGCAATGATAAAATAAGGACTAGTGGGGATGAATAAGAATACATTCAGTCCAATTTCTAGGTTGATGCATAAAAGATTAAACACGACTTACCAAACCGCATATACAAACAAATAAAGATTCTGGAGATGTCATAGCAATCTAAAAACGTAATAAGTAGATAAATTTGAATACTTACTTCAAATCCAAATATGTACGGAAATGATTTTCCAGTTATTGGGATCCTCATCACATGTGCGACGGGGACCCACGGAATGTCCAGAAAATAGGGCACAAAGAGTGGGAAAATCAAGTTAAATCTAATAATGTAATATTGAAAACGACTGTGCACAGTAACTTACGGTCCAGAAGGAAGTATATGAAGTGAAAAGTTTAATTTTCTCAAAATAAAAGCCATCAACAGTTCAACGAATGTTGTTGTTGCAGCACAATAAAATAGGAATGACTAAATTTGCATTAAGAACAATAAAACAGCATAAACCAAGAAAGCTTGCCAGAAATTTTCTTGATCCATAGCGTCGTTCAAATATTCGAAAATAGTACAACAGTAAGCCACCACAGACTAGATCTTTTGTACTAAGGAAAGGTAGTTGACAAAATGCTAATCTCCATATCTAATGAGCAAGATTATTTTATAGGGAAAAAAATCCCCAAGTTAGTTGCATTTTATACTAACCGATCCATTTTCGAAAATATCATCTAAATTATAGGTAAATATATCCTTCCGTTTTGAAAATGGCATTAATAGGATGAAGGAAAATATCACACTGAATGCCAGAAAACATTTTGTTACTGTAGTTTTATCTGGAAGAAACATGTTAAGGTAAAAGTTAAATTGTCAGTAAAATAATCCACAAATGCATGATAAAACTTTCAAGTAACTTAACATGCAATATTGTCTAGAGTTGCCATGAAATTATCATCTGCTCCGTTGATCTGTAGTCCATCGTTTTACACAGGTAACTCCTGTGATCCCAGTTCTGTTTAATAAAGTCCAGGAAACCGTGTGTGAACATTAAATAATACTGTTTGGTACTGTTAGTGTGTGTTTGACTTGCAAGCTGTACAAGCCATGACGAAAACCCATCAGAGTAAGGGAAACTGATTATTATTCAGCTTACTCTAAAACCTTAACATAAAACTAACCCTTGCTTTTTGTCCCCCAATTTTATTTACTTACTTTCCTAAGTTTTGCTAGTTCGTGTCATGGTTTGTACCACTGACTTTCTCTGTCTGTGATGTGGATTATAGAAATTTTAACTGAGACACAAGAGTCCCAAGCAATGTATTGGTGGACTTCTGTCAATCTTCTGAGTGTCGTCTTTCACCCTTCAAATGACCTTACACGAACAAAAATCCCTAACGAAACTCAGAACTGGAAAAGATATTGTCATACTTCCAGAGCACAAAGAACGAACCACAGTATTTATTATTTATTTATTAGAACACATAAACAGTGGTACGAATGGGCAGCAAATACATATGCGCCACACGATAACAACGAGAATGTGGAGAGACAGAGAATGTAGAGTTCATATAAAAGCCTTCTTTTGACTACAAACGAAGGCTCTTACGCAACAAAATTGGGAAAAGCTTGCGTTAGGACCGAAAAACCTGGTGATCGGAACATGCCAATGAGTTCAAAGCGACAACCGCATCTGATAACTGCTGGAAGCTCTTCCAACTTCTTCAAGTCACTAGCAGAAAGAAGTCTGGTGTCAGCGAAGTAATGTGTGAAGACGATGGGATGCCAATCACTAACATCTGTCGACGTCTTGGACGATGGGCAGAGCTTTCGAGGGGCAGTTCAACTGGTCTGATAACCCTGCAACATCGATCAGACCGTCCTTTTCTCCATGACCTGTGACGACTGATCCACCTAACGATGCGGAAGTCCTCGAGGAACTCCAACTCTTGAAGCTCTACAAATTACCGAGCCCAAATGACTTACTTCCGGCCCATTTTAAATATGTTGGTGACTTTCTGGTTTAGGAACTAACTGAATTGTTTACAAAGGTTTGGGAGCTAGAGAGTGTTTCAACGTCTTGGAATGAGTCGATAGTTGTCCCTATCTTTGAAAAGGGTTCACGTCGTTTCGGTAACAACTATCAAGGAATGAGTCTGCTTCCGGTTGTGTCCAAACTACTGACCCCCGTCATACTTCGTAGGTTGTTCAAAACCCGAAAAAAATTGACTCGCGAAAAGTAGGCTGGATTTCGTTTCGGTCGAGGATGTATTGATCATATCTTCACCCTCCGCCAAATGTCAGAACACCGTCATACTTATCACCGACCAACAATCGTGGTGTTTCTTGACATTAGGGCTACCTTCGATTAGTTGGACAGGACTGTTCTCTGGGATTGTCTATTGAAGAAGGGTGTGCCTCAGAAGTTTATTAACATCTTAAAAACCCTATATGCAAACACCTCAGGCAGAGTGAGGGCACACAACCACCTTTCTCTACTGTTCCTTTCAGGCAGTGGGTTTAGTCAGGGTTGCCAAATCTCACCATTCCTCTTCAACTTTGCCATCGATGACATTCTGGAAACAACTCTGATGGATGTAAATAATGGCGGTGTGGATATGTTGCCTGGAGAACGAATTCTCGACCTTGAATATGCGGATGATATTGTCTTAATGTGCGATAATGCCCAAGGCATGCAATCCGCACTTAATCAGTTGGCAATCAGTGTCCACAGGTACGATATATGCTTTGCATCTCGAAGTGCAAAGTACTCCTACAAGACTGGCAGGATTCTAAACCTGTACTCACCCTGGATGGTGAGTAGATTGAGGTAGTTAGGAAGTTCGTGTATCTAGGTAGCTGCATAAGTGCCGGTGGCGATGTGAGTGATGAGATCAATTCACGTATAGTAAAAGCAAGAGCGGCTTATGCCAATCTGAGCCTCCTTTAGCGCCTTCGTGATGTTAGTCTGGCTGTAAAAGGTCGAATTTACAACGCGTCGGTGAGAGGAGCTTTGCTCTATGCTTGTGAAACCTGGCTTTCGAGTTGAGGATGTTAGACGTCTCTATGTGCTTGATCATCGTTGTCTTTGAAGGATTGCTAACATCCAGTGGCACAACCATGTTAGTGATGCAGAGGTTCGGCATCGTGTATTCGGGCGCAGAGACGATAATTCAATTGGTGTCACCACCTTGAAACACCGACTTCGGTGGCCTGGACATGTTCTACGAATCTCATCCCACAGAATTCCACGTCGTGCATTATTTGCCGACGCTGGGACTGGTTGGAAAAAGCGGAGAGGTGGTCAGTGTATGACATGGTGTCGTGGTATAAAAGAAAGCTACGAAGGGCTGACTTCTGTTGGTCCTTCCTGACTCCATGGTTGGGTTCCTAGAGATGATGTAACACAATAGCTAGAGACATTATCAGATATCGCTCAGAATAGAAGCCAGTTACGATCGTGCTGTAACCTTCTTGTACTTTCTTCATAAAAAATAAACGTAACTTTTTTAACTGTAAACTTTTTTCGGGTTGTAATTTTGCTAATTGAACTGCCTCTCTCATAATTATTTCATTCTCATACACTAATTTTTGTTCATTGTTATTTTTCTTTTCTATTATTTTATTTAAACATAAATATTGGTACAAGGGAGCATCAGATATATATGCGCCAGATAAAACAATGAGAATGGGAAGAGAAAACGGGTAAGATGCATATATATATATATATATATATATATATATATATTATAGAGGGCGAAACAGAAATGTACAATCGGAGCTCTTTCAGTTAAGGAAGTTAAAACCACTGTTGTATAGGTACAATGTTCAGTGTTAACGAACATAACCGTAAGTAAGACCACGTAGCTGGTTTGAAAAGAACAGCCGTTAGGTATTGTTGAAATCTTTTGTGTACTTTAAATTTCAGAATTCACAAGGTTATTTGATTCTCAGTAGTTGAACAAGCGTTACAAAAAGGGATAACCAGTGGAATATTTTTTATGTTCAACTTTGTTCGTAATAATTATTTTTCTAAACATGGGCTTACTTTCTAACTTGCATGGGAAACTCATTGACTAAGTGTTGAGGAAGCCTGTTTGATTTTGGATGCACTCGTAATTAAGTACACGCGCCTAATTAATAATACACAGCTTGTTCTTTCTTTTGTCGATCCTCTTAAATTACAATCAGACTTTGCAATGACAATTAAAATACACAGCAATCGATGCTTTAGCATCTGTCAACTACTCATTAAGTTGTACGGTATGACGTTTTTTTCTTTTCCATAAATTTCTTTAAGCATGTGCCATTTTTAACTTTCATTGCGGTTGTCATGTGGTGTTTTATGGGAATAAAGACGAACACAGGAGACGTTTGGGGTTATGCCAAAGGTATGTCAAAAGTTGTAGCAAAATTAGATAAACTAGCGTGTATTTAGGCGAAACACAGACAACCCAGCGACATTTAAAACACAGTAACGTGTAAAGGAAAATCCGCATTATCTTCCTCAGACAGGCTAAGAAACAGACATTTCAAAGCGCTACTCCATTATTTCTCCTGTATTTTCCCCTTCATTTCCAGTCTATTGGTTGCATGGGTTTAAATATGAAATAAATGCGAGTTGATAAATGTACCGAATTCTGAGGTAATGATCAAAATTGATATAAGGCTTTAAAAATTTAGAGACCTACAATGTTGATAAGAGTGTAATTCAACCAAATAACTTACAAAATCCAGAATGACTTTGGGGAGCCAACATAGTATCCAAACTTGTAAATTTGGCGCAACTAAATCCAATATCTAATATCTTTGACAGACGACCTTGTCATCAGTGTTCGATAATTAGGATAGTAGGTTGGTAGAACTGCACTAATATTTAACTGTGATGTCCCAGTTCACCCTTGAAAGTGCTCACTGATTAGGTTGATACCACTTGTACGGGTGAGGCTTCCAATCGATAAAAATAACGGAACCTCACTGTGAGTCTAATTGATCGTTGATTTTAAACCTTCTTGCTATGGCACTGGAGATTATTAGTGCTCAGTGAGGTAAAAGGATAGGACATACAAACACCCAACTCATAATTAAAGATACGAAATGCCTATACAAGGTCACCTAGAGTTATATGATAAGGGGCAAAGGTGTAGGCATTTTAAACAACCGTCGTAAAATAGTTTGGAAGAACTATTATCCCTTTCCAGTTGTCTTCCAAAGTAGTTTCTTGTTCATTCAGTAGATCCTGTAGAGCTTGGAACCTGTTGTTGTTGTTATCTTGAATTCATGGAGCTTGTCAGTATCTCGAAGGAAGGCTGTATTGAACCTTTGTAGTGCTGTTTGTCCAGTGTTTCTTTAGCTTCAGTCTCATCTTGGCCACAACCAGGTGGTGATCTGAAGCTATGTCAGCTCCTCTCTGGGTTCTCACATCTTCCATTGCTCTTCGGAGTTTTTTGTTGATACAAATATGATCTATCTGATTCTCTGTAGTATGATCCGGTGAGATCCATGTAGCTTTGTGTATACGTTTGTGTGAAAATATTGTGCCGCCTATAACCAATTTGTTGAATGCACATAGGTTTGCAAGTCTCTCCCCATTTTCATTTCTCTCTCCTAATCCATGTCGTCCAATTACATCTTCATATCCTGTGTTGTCCACTCCAACTTTAGCATTTAGATCTCCCATAAGGATGGTGAGGTCCTTTCGTGAGCACTTCTCTATAAATGATTGCAGCCTTTCATAGAACTGATCTTTATCATCGTCGCTGCTACCATTGGTGGGTGCATAACATTGGATAACGTTCATTGTGATCCCTTGCTTCTTTGTTCTGAATGATGCTTTCATTATCCTGGGTCCATGAGATTCCCATCCCACATGTGCATTTCGTGCGTCTTTGGACAGAATTAGAGCATTTCCGTGAGTGTGTGGAGCATTTTTCCCTCGTGACCGGAGTACAGCAGCATCTCTCCTGTACCTAGCTTTTATTGTCCAGTTTGTGTCCAATGGGTTTCGCTGATTCCGAGTACTGCCAAGTTGTATCTCCTCATTTCCATTGCTATTTGACTGGTCTTTCCTGTCTCCCACATTGTCCGGACGTTCCATGTACCTATAAAGAGTGTTGCTCTAGTTGTTAGAAGGTGCATCGGCCTTGCGACTTCCGAAGAATTTCGGCTTTCATCATGAGACGTCATAATTCTTCCTTGAACTGAGAGGACAGAGTTTAAATGGTTTGGATTATTTTTTCTGGTTAGCGCTTTTTTAGCGATTTAGCTTTTCTACGGGATGGGGTCGCTAACCCCATGCTCAACCCTCCTCCTTTACCCGGGCTTGAGACCGGTAGGAGCTCTAGAAGAGCTACAGGCGGAGTTAGATTGAGGATGAAACGGATATTCTAGTTTTACAACTAGCTACCAGTAGCACCTTCTATATTCGGTCGTTCCCAGTCAGATAGAAATCAGAAGTCAGACGAGAAGAGGCAGGAAAGATATATTTGATTCGTTACCAATATATCGAGGACCTTTTCTATGAGCTGGCTAATGAAACGTAGGAGCTGTGTCCCACGCCGTGTTGAAACGTGATCTGGTACGGATGCATGGCCGAAAGCCTTCAGCTAAACAAGTCCACTTAAACAACGTGGTCAGCATCCAATGTCGAACACTTAATGAACTATTGATTTTGGGGAATTATTTACATCTACAAGATGTTCCAGTAAGCTTGCTTATCACTGCCGCCAAGAATGTTTACATGAGGATCGGAAACGTAAATATCAACGTCTAAGATACAAGGTAAGGTTTAGGGCCTTTAGTCTTGTCCCACAATGATCAAGGGGTAATAGTAAGTCATGGGCTCAGGACTACTACTCACCGCCGTTCTGTTTTATAAGAATGGTATAGAGCAGTATATATCTTTCGGCAAACATTTATCCAGTTAGAATTGAATATACTTATCACTATTCACACAGCACGAAGGCGGTCCAGATCTACGAAAACGTATTGTAGTGCATCTTCGTTGATGTTCTATGTCGAAATGACTGGGGGCCTACTATAGTTAGACGAGAATGGTGACGAACCAACTAACGCTGAAGTCAAACCTCGCGACCAGCCCTTACGTGGATTGAACCATCGACGCATCAAAGGATCATGGACGCTATGGAGACTGTACAACACAAAGAACGTTATTACAAGAATATATTAGTTAAGGTACAAACACGAAGATGCAGAAGTGAAAGAAACAACCACTGCCGCGTGGGCCAGTCCATGGCATACAATTGTTTGATGCGCGTTGACTATCCTTGACCTTGACAGGGATCAATGATCTGTTCGATATTCAGTGACCCTACAATGCTCCCCCACCAGATTCAATGGCCGTTTGAATCGATACCAAACATGTTGGGAGTAGTCGCGCGCCGGAGGTTGCCAGACGATTAATATGAACACTCCGGGTATTGCCGAGCTGTAAAAGAAATGGAAAGGAGGCTGCAGAAACTGATCGGGAAACTACGAGCAATAACACGTGATAAGGACGTTGGTTGAATGTTAAGCGATCAACCATAGAAATAATAGAAAAAGAAACATTCTAGAGTTTTACCAAGTCGCGTTGAAAAAGATAGCTTTGACAAGTGGTTGAGTTCCTCAGATGAGGAACGTTAAGTTTGCCGCAAGAGTAGTGATGTCACAGTGATAGTACGATAAGTGTATTATCAATCGATGCCGATGTTTGTACTGCCCTCGGTACAGAGTAGAAAGTCAGTAAGTGACGTTGACAACTGTTCGTAGTCGTCGATTTCTAGTTATATCTATATTTAACAGGCTAACTGTAAGTACAGAAGTATAACCGTGAAGATAAGTCGTAGTTTCCTTGTGCGAAGTTTCTGATCAACTTGCAGTCAGTTTGGAAAAACTGATAACTGCTGTGAAAATCAATAAGGGTCGAAGAATACAGAGCAAGAGGTGGCACGATGAAATCTCTAAAAGATGATAAACGGTGGGCGCTGAACATGTGTTTGATGAGTGAACCGAAAAATGTCGAAAAAAATATAAGAAACCAAGAGAGTCACTCTGGACTCATGCCAATGATATCGGTGAAATATGCTGTCAGTGTTGGGGTCGAGACGACAATATCTTTGTCAGTTTGCAGAAGATGCGCTCGACTGTGTAAACTGAAGATTCGCTTGAATGAGTGTCTTCAAACCACCAATTGAACTGGACAGGCTTTAGATCGTCGAGTAGTTGAACAGCCGATTGATGTACCGAAATCAGATAAGAGCCACGCGACTTTGAATTTGAGTAGCTACAATGGTTCGGATGTGTTGTAATGTCACATCGAAGTAACATCCTTTCGTATACTGACAATTGTACTGAACGTTCGTTTGGGCATTGTTTATGTAGCAATTGGGTGTGCAGTAGCAAACATATACGAAGACTATCGTGGGGTTCGTGGAGAATTTCAGAGGTGGTTTAGATATTTTCCAAACCTGTATTGCATGTGAATAAGCCGAAGACGGAATTAAAGTGACTTTCGTGCAATACGGAAATCGAGCCATAATTTACCGTGTGAGATAACAGAAAATACAAAGCGCATAGTAAACATTAATTTAAATGGTAACCACCAATGTAACTAAATTTTAGGTTTAGATAACGTAATCGTTTCGTAAAATGGCTTATTATCTAGCGTTAAGTGACATTAAATACGATGAATGTCTGGTAAGGACATGGACTAGGATAGCTCGTGTACACGTAATACGTTTTTTTACAGCATGTTGACTTACGAATCATAAATGTACGTAGTTTCGACTAAAACGTGACGGCAGTGACAGAATGTATGACTAAGTGAAAGTAGCCTCGAAATGTTATTAGACATCATAAACATTATACGAAATTATTTAACACAGTTATGAAACTCGCCTGGGTTACTCTTGCTCCCAAGTAATTGAAATTCGTTGATTAAATTCGTGGATTACGAAGCACTGTAGCCTAAATTTGTATAAGTCCAACACGTAGAATTGCCTGACGAAACAGTCTAAAAAAGATCCAACATTGCAGGAAATTTATAGTTCAAACTCACCGTAAATTTGTAGCATTCCTATTCTCTTATTCGCTATGGAACTCAGCAATTGGAAATTAGACAGGCAGTGGTCAAGAAAGTAAATTATACTAGTAGATAGTTTCTGATAGTAGTTAGTTGATAGTGATTAAGCGGAAAGATGAATTTATAATCGATAGTTAATTCTGTATTGGTTATACAAGTGGATAAGTTGCAAACAGATTAGCGTTCGTGTTACCTTGAGGCTATACTTACGAGTGGTTGATATTTTAACAGACATATTACACAGGAGCATTTACATGCTGCTAATGCCTGTTAAGGAACCACGATAGTCGTAGTTGATTGGTTAGTTCTATCGATTGAACTAGTTATTTCAGTTGAAATACTAATCAACATTGATATGAAGCAACGAATGTTCACAGAAACTGATGAAGATAGCCGAAGTTAAAAATGAATAATAATAAGTATAGAATGCAATAAAAAATAACAATGATAGGTTGCGGTATTCGAAGTCTTGCTCACCAGTGTAGAAGATCTACGTTGATGTTCTATGTCGAAATGACTGGGGGCCTACTATAGTTAGACGAGAATGGTGACGAACCAACTAACGCTGAAGTCAAACCTCGCGACCAGCCCTTACGTGGATTGAACCATCGACGCATCAAAGGATCATGGACGCTATGGAGACTGTACAACACAAAGAACGTTATTACAAGAATATATTAGTTAAGGTACAAACACGAAGATGCAGAAGTGAAAGAAACAACCACTGCCGCGTGGGCCAGTCCATGGCATACAATTGTTTGATGCGCGTTGACTATCCTTGACCTTGACAGGGATCAATGATCTGTTCGATATTCAGTGACCCTACAGTATGGAAGCTAACTGTCAGCTAGATTTCTGAGCTGCTTGATG